CTTTATTATTTCTGATAACACCTTTCCTTGGGGATGCTCGAAGAAATAGTCCCCATCCCAGCCTCTTCATTTTATCCTCCTCTAAAATAGTAGTGCAATCTTTTTCAGAGTGGCCAATGATGCCACACGCAAAGCAAAAATACGACAAATGTTCATACTTGAATTCGATCCTTACTTCCTCACCTTTCTTGTCTTTCATCCACTAGTACTTACGGAGGGTTTTCTCAATGTCAATTAACATCCGAATTCTCCTATACCTGTCAAGGTCGAGAATGTCATCCTCAATCTACAAAAATTCTCCAAGATTCGCAGTCAAGGCTTTCACATAGGTATTCGACCTACAATTGAATGGCAAGTTCATAACTCTAATTCAGAAAGGGGAACAGTTCAATTGCACCTTGTCAAGTTGTTCATCCCCTATAATTTCATTCAGCACCAACAAATTGTTCTCCCAATTACACCAAGGCCTACCTTTCAAAACCTTCTCTTTGTCTCTCCAATGGAAGAATTGAAATGCATAGAGGTTGGGGCTTAGCACCCTAATCACAAGGTTATTTGAGGGAGCCCATACCTTAGTCATGGTTTGTTTAAAAGCTTCAACGTTATAGGGGCGAGATGTGCAGAGTTTCCCCAACAAGACTAGGGGTAGGTTTTCAACATATAAAATATCATTTTTTTTTCAACATATAAAAAATTAGTGTGTTGAAAAGTGAAAAATTAAACTGAGTAAACTAAAAAAACAAAGGGAATATATTTAACGTTTTGATGTAGTATTGATGTGCAAATCGAAAAAAACAAGCAAATGATGCGTTATCATTTAGGGTCTAGAATGTTGTGGGATATGCCCTTGATGGCCTTGAAGGTAGATGTGTCAATTCGGGTGTTCGGGTCGTTTATTTTTAAACTAGTATATTGCCCGTGCGTGCATGGTTTACAAATTATTATGTTCATCTCGTCGAATAATATAAACAAATTAAATTCAATGAGTATTACAAAGTAATAGACTCCTTTACATTAGCAAATTAAATAATTTATCCATGTGAGCTCTAAAACAAAAATAAATTTAAAATTTTTGAATACAAAAACACTTATGGCAACAATAATATTTAAAAATAAGACTTTGTATAAGAGAAGTAGATTCATCTATTCGCGTAATCGTAGTAGTGGTCTAGCAAGTACCAAATCTGAAATTATTAAGCCCTTTTCTTAAGTAGACATAAATTCTAATAAATAATACCCATTTTATTGTTCGCACTCACCAATTTATCCACCTAAAATAACAATTTTTTTTTATTATTCTACCCACCATTGGTACATCTGTACTTTATATTAAAAGGTGATCATAAACAAGCCTATATGTCACGTGGCGCCCTCTGCAATTAATTGAGTCTTTTATTTCACATGCTTAAAAATATGAATTGTATAAGATTTGAACCCACAACCTTAAGTTTAAAAATTAAAGTGTTAGCCACTAAACTATCACCATATCACATATCATTCTACCCAAAATAAATGTCTATAATATATATTGAAAGGTGTTCTTAAACAAGCCTACATGTTACGTGGCGCCCTCCTCAATTAATTGAATCTTTTATTTCACATGCTTAAAAATATGAATTGTATAAGATTTGAACCCACAACCTTAAGTTTAAAAAATTAAAGTATTAGCCACTAAACTATCACCATATCACATGTCATTCTACCAAAAATAAATATAAATAAATAAGAATTTCTATCATGGAATTAATGCAGTAACTCGGGACATCGCCCGCACCTAAAAACTAGTTTTTAGTTAAGTAGTGTGCCATGAACTATTACACAGTAGTCATATAACTAAATGAACGGATAACACCGAACTAAATATAATCCATAAATACTTAGATATTGGTACAGATAAAGTTATTATGGATCAATGCTGGATGTTGAGATTTAGAAGATGATAGTAGTTCATCAACTAAACCTATAATGTACTCTTATAATTATAAGTTAATAATTGGCATAAAAATCATTTTCTATACGTAGTATACAAATTATTTAAGAATTTGAGCATTAATAATTGTAGAAATAATGTAAATTATAAAAATGAACATATATTCTATATTTAAACTTATAAAATATATAAGTTAGTATCTTTGTAGTTTTATGCACTATTAATGAATGTAAACATCAATTATATACTCAACCAATTTCTACAGTAAATTTGTGTTAATTAGCTGAAAATTATCTTTTGAAATCTGACAAATTAAAGGTGATCTCTATATATAATTATATATAAATGAGATCATGAATTTGATACACATTTTTCGGTTCCATTCTAATTTGGTGAATATATGATAAATTCTATGTACAATCAATCAAGGTATATTTATTAACAACAACAACAAAAAAAAAAATAATAAATAAATAAATTTCCTTTAAAAAATATTGGAGTTAAAAAACAGCAGCAGGAAGTGACACGTGTCATTCCTGATATCTGTTTTAGTATTATATTATTGATTACTAATGGTTGATGATTGATGATTTGAATTATGCTTAATTATTGTGTCCAAACAAGTCGATATCTGAATTTAATATATTTCGGGTCAGCTTCAGGACGGGCCGGTCAGATAGGATTTTGACACCTGTACTTGAAGGTTGCTAGTCTATTGAGTTTTAAAACCTTGCTTTATTTACTTGGATTTTGGACCTATTCTTTTGCCCCAACCGTTTTTTTTTCGCACTTGCATTGGGTCACTTGGGTGCAAATGTGCAATGAGTGCAGATTTAAATACAAACTAATGTTTTTGGGCTGCTTTTGAGCATATTCCTTATTTTTAAGGTATGGGCTAGTAAATTTGCCCTTAATGCCCATAAACTAAAAATTACTCCGTATTAACAAGTAGTGTTTCCTCAAAACAAATAAAACCAACTTTCGGAACGATATTTGTCAAAAGCAACCAAATTAATATTTAAAATTACCATTTCATATAATGGGAGATCTTGGCCAAAAATATTACCTCTCGCTCAAAACTAATCGTTGTGTCCTAATATTTTATAAGTAAAATAAGATTATTTAAGTTCATTAACTAATAAATTACATTAGTTTACCGGAAACCGGGCCCCAAATGGCCCTAGTTGAAGGTGCCCCTCTGATATTTCCGTAGATTTATTTACTATTTTAATAGCTATTTTGTATCCAAACATTCCTCACAAGCTACTTTAACAACTAACTCCGATAGTCGTGATAGATATTTGTTAATAGTTGACATACATTGATACATATAGTCATGCAACTACTAGCTACTATGAGTATTAACTAATTTTGTTGTTTATGCCCTAAGCTTGTAACATACTCCATAAGCAATACATATGGTATTAGAATAATGCAATCTTCGTTGTTTTTTTTTTATTGTCCCATTAGAATATTTCAATTAAAGAACAAATATATTTATATTAGATTTTATTATATCTGACATGGCGTGTACTTCAAAATGTTAATTTTCTATAATTTATATATAAAGTGTAGTTGAACATAATACTAATGCATAAACAAGCTTTTAGAAAAGTTAAAAAAAAGTTCCTTGCATAGAGTTGGGGTTTTCTTTCTCTCGTTTAGGGTTTCGTGCAGTGTGCTTTTTTCCACAAAATTGCTATAAAATTTTTGTCTATGATCCTAAACACTAATAATTTCGAGAGGACTGAAGTGCGTGTGGACTATGGATTCCGAATTGCTGAAGGATTGGGAACGTTTGAGGCTGACTGATGAGGAGAATTTCGTGTTTGGCAAATCAAACTCTGGTTCGCTGGATGAAGGGGCATCATCAAAAATTGCTGTCTTTGGTGGGAAAATTACTCACAAGAAAACCGTTTAATGTTGAAGCCATGAAACATGTCCTGAAGAATCTCTGGCGAATTGATGACAATGTTGCGATTCGGAATGTGAATACAAATCTATTTATTTTTCAATTCTTTAATTTGGATGATAGGGAGAAGGTGCTGGATGGTAGGCCTTGAGTTTTTGGCAATCAAATCCTGCTCTTGAAGGAGATTTGTGCTGATGAACAGCCTTCAGAGGTTACGTTTGATTCATGCCCCTTCTGGATTAGGCTTATTGATGTACCCTTTGGCTTGCGCTCAATTAAGTTTGCTCGTGATGTGGGTGATTGCATTGGAGAATGTTTGGAGGTGGATGAGTCGGACCCTCTTTGTTGGGAAGAGTATATGAGGGTTAAAGTACAGGTGAATATTGCGAAACCCCTTCGTAGGGGAATGAAAGTCGCTGTGGAGTCTGGTTGCACCAAATGGATCGGTTTCAAGTATGAGAGACTTGGTGATTTCTGCTATTATTGTGGCCAAATAGGACACACAGATAAGGATTGTGAGGAGAAGGAAGGCGGTGTTGGTGAGTCGCCTGTAGTTTTCCAGTACGGGCCTTTCTTGACTGCTTCACCTTATCGATCGAAGGTCTCTGAGATTGGAAGGGAAAAGGAGAAAAAATGGTTTGAACATCTGAATTCGAAGGGGAGAGTGCAACGCTCTGACTACAATGACCCAAAGGCAATTAGGCTTGGTCCCCCTGGAGCTGCCAGGAAACTATTACTCTCGCCTCAAGGGGCTCCTCATGATACTACCCCTAAACCGAGAACAAGTTGTTTGAAGGCTGTTGCGAGTGATGGTGATGGAAAAATGGTGCTAAGGCCAGTATCTGTTCAGGCAGAATTTATGCGAGAGCCTGGACAGGGTACTGTGGAAAAGAATGTAAAGCAAGTGGCTGCTAGAACAATGACCCAGAAGGAAGGAGAAGGCGTTTATGACCAGGTGGTTGACATGGACATTACTGAGGGATTGGACGAGGCTGCTGTGTCAAAAAAAAGAGGTGTGGAAGATGCTGAGTTGGGTGATCAATTGTCCGATGTGTGCCATCATGAGAAAAAACTGAAACGATGTAAGCCTAATGATACTGTTGTGGAGTCTGTACTTAAAGTAGGGAGTTTTGGGACAGCCCAAGCTCCCGAAAAACAATGAAAATATTGAGTTGGAACTGTCACGGGGCTGGCAACCCGTGGACAGTTAGGGCTCTCAGCGATATATGCTGGAGAGATAGGCCGAATATTGTTTTTGTAATGGAAACAATGATTGATGAAAATCGTCTTAATAAAATTAAAATTAAATGTGGCTATGTTGAGGGTGTTTGTATTAGTAGTAATGGGAGGTCGGGGGGAATGGGAATGTGGTGGAAGGATATTAAGGTGAATGTTGTTTCGTACTCTGCTCATCATTTTGCTATTGATATTCTGAATGATAATAATTGTGCTATGTGGAGGGCTATTGGGATTTATGGATGGCCGGAGCAATCAAATAAACATTTAACCTGGGATCTCATGTCTTCTCTGAAATCAGGATGTAGTATACCGTGCATTATGTTTGGTGATTTTAATGAGATATCTAGCCTGTGTGAGAAGGAAGGAGGTCCCCTGAGAAGTGAAAGGCTTATGGATGCTTTCCGTGTTACCATGGACACCTGTGCTATGAGAGACTTGGGGTATAGGGGTAGCATATACACTTGGGAAAGGGGTAACACCATGGATACCTATGTACGGGAAAGACTTGACAGATTTACTGCCGACGAAGAGTGGTGTGCCTTATTTCCGAATTTTGAGGTGCATAATCTACCTATTATTAAATCTCTGTCTGATCATGCTCCGATTCTTATGTCATCTGATAATAGAGGGGGAGAAAATTGTGGTAGTACGGGGTTTAAATTTAAGTCGTTGTGGCTATCAAGTGATGAGTGTGGTGAGGTGGTGGCTAAGGGGTGGAGTGAGAGTATGGGGCTGAATATGGCAAACAGAGTGGTAGTATGTGGTGAGAAATTAGCATCCTGGGCTGCTCTGAACTTCGGCTCTGTAAAGAAACGGATCAAAAAGGGGTAAAGAAGATGAAGGAGTTAAAAGGGGGGAGGATGGATGGCGCAAAGCTTGCAATGTGTAACTCCCTGGTAGCGGAACTGGAGTCCCTATATAGGTTGGAGGAGTCGTACTGGCATGCTAGAGCTAGGGCTAATGAGCTGCGTGATGGCGATAAAAACACTAAATATTTCCACCACAAAGCTAGTCAAAGAAAGGCTCAGAACAGGATTCGGAGACTACAAGATGATAATGGGGAGTGGTATGAGCAAAGGGTGGACTTGGAAAGGTTGATAACTGCTTATTTTTCGAACCTTTTTGCTATGAGTTCGCCGATGGGTTTTCAGGATGCTTTAGAGGGAATTGAGAGAGTGGTAACTGAGGAAATGAATGTTATGCTGGACTGTGAGCCGACGGCTGATGAGATAAAAAATGCACTGTTTCAAATGCATCCTAATAAAGCACCCGGCCCCGACGGTATGCATGCTCTATTTTTTCAAAAATTCTGGCATATTGTTGGCCCTGATATTATTACCTTTGTGAAGAGATGGTGGAGTGGGGATGTGAATTTATCGGAAATAAATAATACTTGCATTGTTTTAATTCCGAAATGTGAGTCTCCGAAGCAACTTTCTGAGTTCCGTCCTATTAGCTGCTGTAACGTGATTTATAAAATTGTATCGAAAACGGTAGCAAATAAATTGAAGGTGGTGCTAGATAAGGTGATCTCTATCAATCAGAGTGCCTTTATTCCAGGCCGTCTTATATCGGACAATGCTCTTGTAGCCTTTGAGATTTTCCATGCCATGAAGAGGGGTGGGGAGGGAAAGGACGGCAGCTTTGCTTTGAAACTTGATATGAGCAAAGCGTATGACAGAGTAGAATGGGTGTTTTTGGAGAAAGTTATGGATAAGATGGGCTTCTCGGGAACATGGGTTGGGCGAATTATGGAGTGCCTGCAGAGTGTTCATTTTGCTTTTAAAATAAACGGGCAAATTTCAGGTTCGGTTATCCCTTCCAGAGGTCCTCGGCAAGGTGACCCAATTTCCCCGTATCTCTTTCTAATATGTGCTGATGCTTTTTCAACTCTAATAAATAAAGTGGCTAGAGATGGAATTGTTCATGGGCGAAAATTTGCCGTGGTGCCCCCCGTGTCTCACATTTATTTTTTGCTGATGATAGTATCCTTTTTGCTAGAGCTAATACTCAAGAGTGCTCTGTGATAGCTAATATAATTAGCAAATATGAAAGAGCTTCGGGCCAGAAAATTAATTTTGATAAAACTGAAGTGGCTTTTAGCAAAAAGGTGAGTCTAATTCGCCGGAAAGAAATCGTGGATACTCTGGGGATACGGGAGGTAAACAGGCATGAAAAATACCTGGGATTACCGACGATAATTGGCAGATCAAAGAGAGCAATTTTTGCAGGTATTAAGGAGCGGCTCTGGAAGAAATTGCAGGGGTGGAAGGAAAAGTTATTATCAAGGCTGTAGCTCAGGCTATCCCGACATATATGATGAGCATTATGAGGATACCGGATGGAATTATTGATGAGATTCATGCCCTCTTGGCTCGGTTTTGGTGGGGGACTACGGGCTCAACAAAAAAGCTCCACTGGCAAAAATGGGATAGTTTGTGTAAACCAAAAAATGTAGGTGGACTAGGCTTTCGTGATCTCCGGTGTTTTAACCAAGCACTTTTGGCAAAACAAGTGTGGCGTCTTCATCATAACCAAGGTACTCTCTTGCATTCGATATTGAAAGCAAAATATTTTAAAAATTGTATGTGTTAGAGGCCTACCGAGGGTATGATCCTAGCTATACGTGGAGAAGTTTGTGGGGGTCAAAGTCTTTACTTCTTGAGGGTTTGAAGTGGAGAGTGGGAAACGGTGTTGATATCCCGGTTTGGGAGGCTGCGTGGCTACCTGGTAACTCGTCTGTGTGTGTCCCTTCTCCAACGACAAATAGCGATCTAGGTTTGAGAGTGTGTGACTTGATTGATCAAACATCGATGTCTTGGCGTGGGGAGATTATTAGTACAAATTATAACGCGGCAGATCAAGCCCAAATATTGGCAATCCCTCTGTCATACCGAAATACAAATGACAGAATGTATTGGTGGCCGTCAAGGTGTGGGGAATACTCGGTGAAATCTGGGTATTGGATTGCAAAGCAAGGCCCTGCTGCTGTCCAAAGGCAACCATATGATGAGATTTGGCGGATTATATGGGGTCTAAAGGTCCCTCCGAAACTAGTCCACTTTCTTTGGAGGGCATGTAAGGATTTTCTTGCGGTTAGGGAAAGGCTCTACTATCGTCATTTGGTGCCTGACAAAGCTTGCTCAATTTGTGGAGGAGACTGTAATTCATGCCATTTTCGAATGTAAGGCTGCCAAGGAGATTTGGGCTGCTAGTAACTTCACTCAACTGGTGTCTCAAGCGCCTACTTTCTGTTTTAGGGACAGATTATTGTGGCTTGCTTCAAAATCCACAAGTAATGAGCTGAAGTCGATGGCAACTCTAGCTTGGGCTGCTTGGTGGTGCCGCAATAAAGCCATCTTCTAGAATGAGTTCCCATGCCCTGTAAGTATTGCTACAAACCTGACAGCTACTGTAAATGATTATGGGGAATATGCTAAGAAGGTGTTCGTGAGAAATGGAAGTCTTGTACCTCTAACTGTGAGCTCTTGGTCTCGACCTTGTGAGGGAATGGTGAAGGTAAATTGTGACGCCCATGTGGGAAGGGTGACTGGTTTAGGGGCTGTGATTAGGGATAAGGATGGTAGGTTGCTAGTTGCTGCTGTGAAACAGGAAAGGGCAGGGTGGTTACCAGAGCTGGCTGAGGCAGCAGCTTGTCGTTTCGGGCTTCTGGTGGCGAGAAGGCTTGGATACTCATCGATAGTCCTGGAATGTGATGCGTCTCTGGTAGTGTAAGGAGTGAAGAATAAGGCCCCTAGCTATTCCCCCTTTGATTTACTGATTGATGATATTTGCTCCCTTTCCCGCTCCTTTGTTACTTTTTCTGTATCTCACGTCAAACGTTCGGGTTATACTGTAGCTCACCATGTAGCTAGATGGGATGCTAGAGGTTGTAACGAATTCTTATGCTTGGGTCCGTTTCCACAAAGTCTTGTGACTTTGGCGGAAATTGATCTCTTATAATGCTAATCCGCAGGTGTTCTAAAAAAAACATAATACTAATGCATACAGACATACAATATAATGGAATATTAGATGATGAAGGTTTGGAATGAGAAAATAGAATTAAGTTCTATATATATCACAAGAAGTAGAAACGAATGTGGATTGGGTGAAACTGAAAAAAATACTCCAATTTCCACTTGTGGCTTTATTTTTGTATAATGTACATTACAAATATTTCCTATATTATGTTGAAAAAACACATCGAAGATATCACAACAATGGTCACACCTGATTGTAAAAATTGAGTTCAAACTTATAGAATTGACCTACAAAAATAAAGTGTAGCAATTAAACAAACGAAGGGAGTAATAGCTCTTATTCCTCCTAAAATAAACTGACTTTAAAACTAGAAGTCGGATAGCTAGTCAACTGTAACTTTTTATCTCATCCTACCGAAAAGCTTATATTATGCTCCACTTAGTAAACAAAATCATCACAACTTTTGCACCCAATTGCATGAGCCGTAAGACATTAAAGGGGTTCAAAAACTACTTTGAATTATCTTCATGTCAAGAGGCAAAGTCCATAACACTCCGTAGCTTTTGCAATTGCATATACTGTTAGATTATATGATACATATATTCTATTTGTATATATCTCCAAATTTGTTAAGGAGTTTATCCTGTATATATTCTGTCCATATTCTTAGCTAATTAGTTGCTAGTTTGTAGGCTAATTATATTCTTTGTACATTGTATATAATCTCATGATTTTAATGAGAAAAGGCAACACATTACATTCTTTCATGGTATTAGTGACTAGGGACCTGTTCTGATTTACTGAATTGAACTGAACTGAACTGAATTGAGCTGAAATGAATTATTTATGAGAGAAGGAAATTAAGAACTGAACTGAACTGAATTGATTGGAGTTAAACTGAACTGAATTGAACTAAACTGAAATTAAGCTGAATAGAAGAGGCCCTAGGGTATCAATCCTTGGTTCTTCTCCTAACAATTGGCCCTCTTCTTCCCTATTCTATTCTCTTAATTTCTTTATTCCTCTGCACAAACATCTCCATAACTGAATCATCAAAGTTTCACCCGGCTTTGACCATCACTAACGTGAAGTATCTTGTACCAATCACGTTGGACTCCGATCATGGAATGTACCACTCTTGGGCCGCACTTTTTAAGGTGCTTGTTAGGGTAAACTATCTTCATAATCACATCATTCCTCCTACGAAGAATAAAGAGAAGGCTGCATATGAGGATTCAAAATCCGCTGATCCTGCCCTTTGGAAGAGGTTAGACGCTGCGGTCCTTCAATGGATCTATGGAACTATTTCCACGGACCTTCTCCATGATATTCTTCTAAAGGACGACACTACTCATGGTGCTTGGACTCATCTCGAGTCCATGTTTCAAGACAACAAAGCCTCACAAACCTCTCATCTCGAACAAGAGCTTGCCGACCTTGACTTCGAGACTTTCTCGTCCATCGATGGCTATTGTAATCACATCAAATCTCTTGTCAATCGTCTTGCTGATGTTGATGCTCCGATTTGCAATAGCCGCCTCATACTTACTTGTAACACCCTAGAAATTCCATTCCTTTCCTTTAAAATACCTGTTTTGCCTTGTTTAAAATACGAATTAGGAAAATCTAAGACATTACCGCCACCGTGATAACGGCTAAGGCAATTATCAACGACACACAGCAGAAGACTTGTTTTAAAACCCATTCAAAATAAAACCAACTTCAAAAGTCAACCAAATAAAAGTAAAGTCAAACCAAAGTCAAACAAAGTCAACCTACAACTTGAAACTATTGTAGGCCCTTTTAAACCAAACAAATACTTAAAACCATTGCGTTAGTCTCACAAG